TATACATATAATGTTACTCCTCCCCCCTTCCTATTCGATCTATTCCTTTTGAACAGGTTGTAACCCTCAATTTCTACATTTCAGTCATGACTCTCACCCCACCAGAGTTCTGTAATGCCTGTTAGACCATATTTGCCATCTTGAATTAAGAGCTCAAGTTCTTCTTGCTTGGTTCCCATACTCTGTGCATTTGTATAGAGACAACTGAAACCACAAATCATTCCTCCACACACTTGCACTAGGTGAAAGCGTTTCTTTTTCGGTAGTGGGTGGAATGCTTTAAAAATGACGTTTTTAAAAATAGGATTGTCTTTTAGTTTTTTATCTGTCCCCCCCCCTTTTAGGCTGGTTTCAATTTGTTAGTTAAGTCAGTAACTAAATATATAAACAATCTTCCTTAGCTGGGATGGGCCAGGGCGGTTAAATTAGTAAAAAAAGTATCCAATAAATTTAATAAATAATATAATACCCCACAGGTATCTGAATAGGTAGCTGTTTCCTGCTGTATTCGTGATGAGACTTGTGTGAGATACATGCTTAAAAATTCATTTGACATAGAGTCTATGATAGGGCTGGCCAATGTTGTGCTATCTGGATGTTGTTGAACTCCAAATCCCATCAGGAAGCATGGCCAGTGGTCAGGCGTGATAGGCATGGTAGTCCAATGTTATCTGGTGAGCACTACATTGGCTACGTGTGGTGAAGGAACTGGAGGCAATAAGTCTCTGGAAATCAGTCCTCAGGTGGGCTTAGGCATGTTGTTAGGGGATGGTCCGGGGGGCAGGCCCTGGTCTTCTGAACTGGGTCCAGATCTCCTCTTCCTCCTCCCTTTTACAATTACAAATATGTGTTTTTGCAAACTTTGCTTAAGGAATTGCTGAGTCACTGGAAAGCAACCACCCACAACATTAATTTGTGAGAGCCAGTGTGGTGCAATGGTTAGAGTGTCACACCATGTCCTAGGAGACAACCTGAGGAAGGGAGAGATCACTTTGAGTCTCCTTGGTGGTGTAGAAACATCAGAGATAAATAAGGTGGTATATAAAATGCAAGAGAAAGATCAAATAAACAAACACCGTGTCCTGATGGCAAACTGATTTTCTGTGTGTGGATTTTTATGAAACCAAGAGAACAGCAACTGCACACAAGGGGGTAGTATTAGCTGAAGCAGGGAAGCGCCAAGGTTTGAAGAGTTATATAAAAAAACCTAAGGGACCCCACCCTAGAGGGGGAACTCCCCGCAACAGCCCAATGATACCTGAGCATGGAATAATGACTGGCTGTTGAGGAAACAACTCAGAAACTGTGGGGTACAGAATGGAGTGTATTGGAAAAGGGCGTGACTGGTTGGATATACCTGAACAGCAGCACTCTAGACCAGGGGTCGGCAAGGTTTACCTCACCTGGACTGGTTCACCCCAGCAGAGATCCCACCATGGGCCGGATTGCGCACGTGTGTGAGCGCGCATGCGTGATTTCCGGCGTCTGCGCAGATGCGATTTCCAGCACCGTGGAAGCGAGTCCCTGCGCCGCGCTGCACTTGTTTAGCGTGGCGACTTGCCAAGTGGGCGGCTCAGTTCAGGGGCGGCTCGTGGGCCGGTTAAATGACCCCCGCTGGCTGCTTGTGGCCCACGGGCCTTAGGTTGCCTACCCCTGCTCTGGACTGCAACTTTTTGTTGCAGGCGCTACTTGTGCTGTCTAAAGTAGATTTCCTGACTCTCTCTCTCTTTCTCCTTCCTATCCTCTTGCTATTCTGTCCCCCCCAACTCGTAGGACCTTCCCCCTAATTCCACTCTGGTTATCACTGCCACCAATGCCTTTCTGAATCCCCGCCCCCCCCTTTTCCTGCTCATTATCACCTTATGAAAAGTGTTTCATTAAGAAACACTGCTTTTGATTAATTATCGACAGAATGCTGACCAGGAAAAAAAGAGAGACAGAAATGAAATTAGTCTCTGACCCCGTCTGCATAACACTGAAAATTCATCACCTACCCTTTTAATATTGAAAAGCAGCCTCGAATTTTAATAGAAAAAAATAGTCTCTCTCTCTCTCTCCTGCCCCCCCAAATATGAACCTCTCCCAGTCTTTATTAATGCCCCTAGGCAGAAACTGATATTGCTTGCAATCTGGCAGCCTTTGTTCATTTTAAATTTATTATACAGAATGCACTTCATTTTCAAATATTTTTACTGTTTCTTTTTAATTTCGCTCACTGTTAAGTACAGATGAGGAAACCCTTTTAGAACATTTAAGTTATGGGAGAGTGGGGGGGGGGATACACACGGAGAGGAGAAATCTACATGGAGATTGAACATAAAGGCTGTGCCCATCCAATAAATTTAAGTAGAAACAATTGTAATTGCCGCATTCACAACCATCCCCTTCAGACATCCAGACGATATCTGGAATGATAAAAAAAAAGTATGATTGGAAAGGAACGGTGGGATTTGGAAAAGGATGGGCACATTTTCCCACTGGGCTTAGTTTGGGTCAATCCACAGAAGGGAGAAATTCAGAAGCACTCCTGCAAGGATCCCTGATAGGCTGCTTCTTTTGTGCATATAAGAGCAGGGGTAGGCAACCTAAGGCCCGGGGGCCAGATCCGGCCCAATCGCCTTCTCAATCCGGCCCGCGGATGGTCCAGGAATCAGCGTGTTTCTACATGAGTAGAATGTGTCCTTTTATTTAAAATGCGTCTCTGGGTTATTTGTGGGGCACAGGAATTCATTCATTTCCCCCCTCAAAATATAGTCCGGCCCCCCACATGGTCTGAGGGACAGTGGACCGGCCCACGGCTGAAAAAGGTTGCTGACCCCTGATATAAGAGGCATGCTGGACCCACAAGCCCCAAAGCACTGCAAAACAGACCTGTGGAATTCATGAGGATACAGGAAGGGTGATGATGGATCAGATCACCTGGTCCAGAGATGGGGAACTTCAGGTGGGGTGGTGATGGGGCAAATGTGGTCCTCCAAGCCTCTCTATTGGGACCTTGAGGCTCACCCTGGGCCATGCCCGCTCCAGGCCAAACCCTCCGGTGTTTCTCAAACTTGGGTCCCCGGCTGTTATTACAAGTCCCATCATCCCTGGCCCCTGGCCCTGCTAGCGAGGGATGATGGGAGTTGTAGTCCAACAGCTGGGAACTCAATGAGAAACCCTGCTCTTAGACATCCCTCCTCTGCACTGGGCTTGAGTGCCTTTGCCTCGCTTCAGCTTGCTTATATTGGAACAGTGATAATGTCTCTTGCTTGTCCGGGTGCAGAGATGCGGGTGGTTGGGGACTTGTAGAAACCTCTGAGTTTTGTGTAGCTGGAATGAATGTCACTGCAGAAAGGTGAGAGTCACAACTCATTGCTTCCTTCTGGCCCTGCCTGCCATTGGCAAGTGGCCCCTGGAAGGCTGCTCATTAGCTAATGTGTCCCAAAGTTGGAAAAAGGTTCCCAATCACAGTCAAGCCCAGCATTCTGTCTCTGACAGTGGCCAGCTTGATTTCTTTCTTTCTTTTTTCAAAAGTCTACAAGCAGGATGAGAGAGCATGTACCCCCTCTCTATAGCTCAGTCAGCAGAGCATCTTAATCTCATGGTTATGGGTTCGAGTCCCACATCGGGTAAAAATATTTTTTGCATTGTAGGGGGTTGGACTGGATGACCCTCACGTCCCTTTCCAACTCTACAGTTCTATGATTCCAATAGCCCCTTCCCTACAGTTTTTCCTAAGCATCAGATAGACTATTCCTTAACATGGGGGTTCCATTTAACTATTACAGCAAATAGATTAAAGGTAAAGGGAGCCCTGACCATTAGGTCCAGTCGTGACTGACTCTGGGGTTGTGACGCTCATCTCGCTTTATTGGCCGAGGGAGCCGGCGTACAGCTTCCGGGTCATGTGGCCAGCATGACTAAGCCGCTTCTGGCGAACCAGAGCAGCACATGGAAACGCCGTTTACCTTCCCGCCGGAGCGGTACCTATTTATCTACTTGCACTCTTGTGCTTTCGAACTGCTAGGTTGGCAGGAGCAGGGACCAAGCAACGGGAGATCACCACGTCATGGGGATTTGAACCGCCAACCTTCTGATCGGCAAGTCCTAGGCTCTGTGGTTTAACCCACAGCGCCACCCGCCACCCGCAAATAGATTATTCACTCACATATTCCTTTTTTAAAAAAGGAGTCATCTAAGCTAGTGGCCATCACTACACTTTGTGGGAGCGAACTCTGCAAGTTAAAAAAGTTGGCCTTTCGTCTGTCCTGACTGTGCTTCCAATCAGCCTCATTAAGGAACCCCGCCCCCCCAATAGTATTATAACCAAACCAGATGTTTGAACATATCATCAGTTCAGCCTGCTCCCAAGGCTCCTGTAAATAGTTAGGTCTTCACCGGGGGCTAGAAGTTGTGTGAGCCTGTGGGCCTCTCTAGAAAGGTCAGTCTAGGACACTGGCACCACAACCAAAAAGGCACTGTCCTGTCTGTTGAACCACCAAACTCAGATGGGTTTGGAGAACCCGAAGCAGGGCTTCAGGTGTCAAACCAAGAGTATGGAAAAACACATATGGGAGAGGCAGGACTTTAGGTCTTTCCATGCGAAATTGTTTAGGGCTTATTATAGGACAGAAGCCTACTCTCAGTCCACGGTCCCTAAGTCAGTGGAATGATTCCAGATTTAGAAAAGGGAATGACTTCACAGTGAAGATATAAAGTCCTCTGGTGAAAGAATGTCATGAAGCAAAGCACGGAAACTCCTTGAACAGACGTAGCTTTTGGATTTGTGAAGGCCCTGCTGAATGGAGCCATTGAGGTCTTCTTTCCAAACTCAGGCACACACCATACCTATATATTATCCCTCTTGGAAGTAATCAGAATGCCACATGCTTGCTTGCGTACTTTTAAAAATAGGTCTCCCAATTTAGCTTGGATTACTGTGAAGCCACTCTGATACCGTGGGTTGAAAAAACCCTCACCCACCAGCAGGGACCTCTCATAAATTCATAAGATAGGGGGGATAGCTCAATTGGTAGAGCATGGGACTTAATCTCAGGGTTGTGGGTTTGAGCCCCACATTGGACAAAAACGATCCCTGCATTGCAAGGGGTTGGACTAAGGACCCTTGCGGTCCCTTCTAACTCTACAGTTCTGCATATCTATGATTGCCGCTGTGGGTTAAACCACAGAGCCTAGGACTTGCCAATCAGAAGGTCAGCGGTTCGAATCCCCGCGATGGGGTGATCTCCCGTTGCTCGGTCCCAGCTCCTACCAACCTAGCAGTTTGAAAGCATGTCAAAGTGGAAGTAGATAAATAGGTAACGCTCCAGCGGGAAGGTAAATGGTGTTTCTGTGCGCTGCTCTGGTTCGCCAGAAGCGGCTTAGTCATGCTGGCCACATGACCCGGAAGCTGTACGGCGGCTCCCTCGGCCAATAAAGCGAGATGAGCGCCGCAACCCCAGAGTCAGCCACGACTGGACCTAATGGTCAGGGGTCCCTTTACCTTTACCTTTATGATTCTGAGAGCCTGGCTCCTAGGTTAGACCAAAAGGGACCAGTCTAATTCAGCATCCTGTTTTCACAGTAGCCAAGCAGATGTCTGTTGGAAACCCATAACTGCAAAGGCACCCTTGTTCCCATATCTCTTCAGCTGTATCATCACCACTGCCGCCAAAATCTTTTTCAGCCAAAAGATTGCCAGAGCAGTGCACGGGTTATACCGTATTGGCCTGAATATAAGCCTCACTCCCCACCCCCCCCAGTTCCGACTGTGAAAAGTTAAAGTGCGGCTTAAATTCACGACCTTACCAAAATTGGCTTTTACAATATCGCTGCTGAAACAGACATACAGTAAAACAGAACGGGTGTGAGTGCCTGTGGAATTTTAAGGGAGCAGCTTATATTTGGGTATTGTCTTTTTCTCTCCCCCCCCCCCGAATTTTAAAGGTGCGGCTTATATTCGGGCCAATACGGTATATACAAAAAACAAAACAACAAAACAACAAAAAGGTGGTCATCTCAGCTTGCCTCATGTGTGGGTTGGCTTCGCTTCCAAGTCCCCAGGTATAGGATTGCCGAAGTATGTAAATGTCTTGGCTGAGATTTTGCCTATTTAGTTTTCTTTCGGAGATTTCGGCACCCTAAGCAAATGTGGTGCTACTCCCTTTGCAAAACCATCTCTAGTTAGGCCTGAGATTGCAAACAGTAATTGCCGGTCAGAGCAGGCAATATCAGGCCAAAGTTTGGCCGTGAGAAATAGGGGCTTTGTACTGATTGATACGCCACTAAGCAGTTTGTGCCTAGCAGGGCAGTCAAGCGATTAAGTAATTTATGCTCAATGAAGCACCTGCTTTCAGAAACAGGTCCACCTCTCATTTCTCCTCCTCACAGAATACTAGAATTTGGGATTAACATTCCATGAAATTGGGTGGCATTCGGTTCAGGATGAAGATACTTCTCCATGCGGTGCAGGAATAACTTCTGGAATTCATGGACACAAGAAGCTCGACCATTACTTTGCAACATGTTTATAGGGAGGGTTGCTTTTCTGTAATTGAAAATACATACATAGGCTTCCTGATGGCTTGTGGAGCAGTCACCACTAATAATAGTGGCTGCATTAGTGCAGACGTGGGCAAGCTTCCTGAATCTATTTTGTTGCCACAGAGCCTTGGGCTTGCTGATCAGAACATTGGCGGTTCAAATCCCTGCGAAGGGGTGAGCTCCCGTTGCTCGGTCCCAGCTCCTGCCAACCTAGCAGTTTGAAAGCACATCAAAGTGCAAGTGGATAAATAGATACCGCTCCAGCGGGAAGGTAAACGGCATTTCTGTGCGCTGCTCTGGTTCACCAGAAGCGGCTTAGTCATGCTGGCCACATGACCCGGAAACTGTACGCCGGCTCCCTCAGCCAATAAAGCCAGATGAGCGCTGCAACGCCAGAGTCATCCGTGACTGGACCTAATGGTCAGGGGTCCCTTTATGTACCGGAACCTCAAGACCTACCAGTCAAAGCCAGGTGACATATAGTTAGAATGAAAGACCAGAGTGTTGGGATACTGCCAGGGAGACAAAGTCCATCATGGCCCCCAAGCCGCCTCCGGACGTCCATCGATCTCCCGTAGACACGCAGTATCAGCAATTAGCGACACGAGCTCCAGAAATAGCCTGCCACATCCTAGAGCCGATGCACGCTCTATCAGCAGATAATGCACAGCAAAAGATGCACGCAGGAGAGTATTATTTACAAGTTTATTCGGCGTTGGTCAGAACAAAGAAAACATGACTGCCAGCTTCAGTGTCTCTGACACAGAGAGAGAAATGAAAGCAAAAACACAACAGAAACATCCTGTGAACAGGAAATACGCAGACTCTGTGACTCACAAAGCCTGCTCCCTTTTAAGGTGGAACGGAAATATCCTAACACAGAGTGCCTCTGAGTATACCGTATTTTTCTGCGTATAAGATGCCCCCTATTTTGGGGGACTAAATGGGCCAATGTTGTTGAGTTTTTTTAAGGGGGAATTGCACGCGCGCCATCACCCCAGCGGGGTTGTTGCTGGGGGCTCGCGCAGCTGTTCCCCCCACACCACTGTGGGCGGGAAACGCTCCCTAGAGCATGTGCCGCCAACCAGCTGGCTGGCAGGCATGCAGCTTCCTCACCACACCACTATCTGCGTATTGGACGACCTATACACCACAACCCCAGAGTTGGCCATGACTGGACCTAATGGGTCCCTTTACCTTTACTTTACCTTACCCATAATAGTACACAGCTGCGTCATAGATTTGTGTAACGGCATTATGATATTGGCAGTTTTACCTTCAATTCCTTTCCTAATAATCCCTGGCACGGAATCTGCCTTTTTCACAGCTGCTGCCTACTGGGTCAACATCTTCATCGAGTTATCAGTTCTGACCACCAAGGTCTCACTCCTGCTCAGTCACTGCTAATTAAAGCCCCATGTGAAATTAAGTTATTTCTTTTTTTTCTTTTGGCCCCAACATTTGCCATTTTAGCACTCATTCACAAAGTTTGGAGTGAATTCTGGGATTAATTACAATCCCTTTTTGTTTCAAAGACCTCAAATAATTTGGTATCACTAGCAAACTTGGTCTGTTTACTCTTCACCCCAACTCTAGATGGTTTATGAACAAGTTAAAAAGCCTAGATCCCAAAACTGATCCTTTGGGGGATGACTCCTCTTTCTTTCTTTCTTTCTTTCTTTCTTTCTTTCTTTCTTTCTTTCTTTCTTTCTTTCTTTCCAATTTCTGATCCACAAGAGGACCTCTCCTCTTATTCCACGACTGCTAAGCTTACTCCAGAGTCTTCGGTGAGGTACCTTATCAAAAGCTTTCTGAAAGTGCAAGTACACTATGTCAACTGGATCATCTTTATATGTTTGTTGACACTCTCAAAGCATGCTAATAGGCTAGTGAAATAGAACTTACTCTTGAAGAAGCCATGCTGCTTCTGCAAGGCTTTTTCTTCCATATGTTTGGTTATTTTATCTTTAGCAACACTTTTCCTAGGACAGATGTTAAGCTAGCTGGTCTATAATTTCCAGGAACCCCCTGGATCCCTTTATTAAAAAAAAAGATGTTAACACCGGCCACCCTGCAGTCTATTTATTTATATGATTTATATACCAACCCTTACAGAAGCCATACAGCAGTTTACAACAAGGCAAATGAATAAAAATCGGTAAAATAACACAATCCTTTAAAAACATATAGCAACAAACAATTGAATAACAATCACTGACAGCAACAGCAGAAATTGGGTCTATCCTTCTCCAAACACCCACCAAAAACATGTGTCTTAATTAGCTGCCTAAAACTCTAGAGTAGGGAAGGTATTCCACACACACGGAGACCCCACTGAAAATGTCCTTTCCGTGACCCCTTTCATCACATACCTCATACTGAAGAGGGACCACCAGGATCGTAGAGCATGGGCAGGTCAATATGGAAGAAAGCACCCTTGTAGATATTTGGGTACCAGAATTAGACTGATCTCACAGTCCTTTCACACAAAAGTCCACTTCTAGTTCACTTTCTCCATTTCAGCAACTTAATTTAGGTGGAAATAGTTGCTTTGTTGTTTAAGGAAGCATGAGTCAGAAACCTTGGCTGATCTAGTCTTGTTTTATACTCAGAAAGCCTCAGTCTCAATGTTTGTTTTCAGTTAAAGGTGTGCTCCAAACAAGGATTAGTTGACTACGGTTAACCTCTGCTGTGGAATAGAAACTCCATATGCTAACATGTTCTCCTAGAAGATCTTGACCTACCTTCTTGCCACCACTGCTGTCTATAGTCCTATAATGTTTTATTTAGTTAGAGTGATCTCCCTCTCTCCCTCTCTCCTGCTGTTTAGGTCATACTCTCTCAAAGCGAAAACAAGAAAACAATATAAAGATTCAAGAACAGTAGCAATGTACACAGAGCCACCTGAACATCTGAGCAACTAAAGATGGTCTTCAGATGGTCATCCAGAGGACATCAGAGAGTGCCAGGTGAGCCTTTCTGAGAAGGATATTTAAATATCAAGGCACCACAACTAAAAAGGCCCTGTTGTCAGTCACTGCCTGCCTCGTTTCTGAAGGTGACAGGGAAGGGAGGAACCTAGGGGAGACTGCACTGGGGTGGAGATCCTGTGGCCTTGCAGATGCTGTTGGACTCCAACTCCCATCAGCCTTCAGCCACCATGGCAGCCAGGGATGATGGGAGTTGTAGTTCAGTAACATCTGGAAGTCCACAGGTTCCCCACCCATGTCTCAAAATGATGCTCAGAAAGAGATAACGTGTTTATGACCTGTAACATGCCTGCTTCCACGTCTCGTGAAATAGCATGCCCTGGGTGAACTGCAATGACCAGATAATGGTACAATATCTTTCTGCCTCCAAAGAAAGTTTTCGGTTCAAATGCAATGGGGATAAATGGGATCATAATACATTTTCTCTCTACCAGGGGCAGGCAGGGATGAAATGCTAGCACCACTTATATCAAAGCAGAGGCAATGACTTTGTTTTCTGGGTGTTATTTGTCAATCTTCTGTGGGAATGTTCAGGGAGGCAGGAGAGTATAT